ATAAAGTCACTTCATAGGCTCTGTGGTTCTGTAATTTAGTAAATATTATATATATATATATATATATATATAGGTACAATCTTCAAGGTCACATGCTCACATATATTGCTAAATAAAATCCAACTATAATTTATCAGACCCATAAAACTATATTTAATACTTTTTTATGGGGAAAAAAATTCCTGAAAAATCATTAAATTCCAAAGAATCACCAAGAATTACTTATAGGAAAGGCTGAGTTCCTGATTTTAATTGTTATTCCTTAAAGTATGATTTACGGTCATAAAACTTAACTGTATATAATTAATTTCCAAATGGTTTTTTAAAAGTACTTCTTAAATCTTAAAATACTTGTCTATTTGTATTCATGAATATAAGTAACTTTATCAGTGAATGACATACCTACTCCTATTATTATGTAGAGCTGACAATATTATCTCCCTTCTCTTCTCTTCAGGTACTGTTGCAGGCTAGTGTTAATAAAACAAATATTAGTAAACCTCAAGAGACATGAAGAAGATAAAATGAATACTGAATATGCTAAGATTGATAAAAATGTTTTATTCTGCACCAGACCTAACTTATGAAGAGTGATAAACAGTAAAAAAAACACAAGTCTTAATGAACAAAATTCTGTTATTACAACCTTTTCATATTACTGCAGCTGTTAGCAGGTAGCTTATAGTAAATGCTAAAACTCAGTTGGTAAACTCTAGCAGATATTAAAACTCGCATACTGTAATAGCTTTACAGAACAATCACTTAATCTTTCATTTATACTGCAAGAGGAGAGCCATTTGGTAGTTACTTTCTGTACCATCATAATCCAAAAATATGAAATCATGAATTCAACACTCTGAATACACAATGTTAATAGATTCAGTTCAAAAAATGTTTAATGTTCTCTTTGAAATCATCATACTTGAATATTGTACATTTATTACGTAGTACCTCTCGAAGTATAAAATTCTTTAACATGATTCATTACATGGGATATAAATGAAATATTAAGTTAATTTATATTTCAATCTCACCGCATTAATGTTCAAGGCCCGATTCTAGACCAAAAAAGGTTTTTCATTAGTAGTACTTTTCACCCCTTTAACATGTTTTCTGAGTACAAAACTTTTTAAGAATGTGCTCATCTATGTTAGAAATATCTACTGATTTAAGACATACAACACTGAACTTCTCTAACTGATGAGACTGAAATCTTCTATAATGAACCTTCTATAATTGTCATGGATTAGCCATGCATTTTGTTATTTGCAAATGCTGAACATTTTCATGTATTAGGAGTCTTTAGAGAATTTGAATTTTGGTAACACTGTGGAAGAATTCTAATTAACACTCAGATTTTTCCATAACAGTAAAATCTAACTGTTAGTCAACAGGTTTTGTGTGTTTCCTGGTACTGGAGCATCTCTAATCATGTGACTTGAGCAATTACAAATTCAACTCTTCTTCCCAGTGTGTTCTCGTGAGAAAATTTGTTTTCACATTAAACCAAACTGTCAATTATCTGTAAGCCCACATGGTATGATGACTATAGCAATGAATCAGTTGAAATATAAACTTTCTATTGGTTATAAATATAATGGGAATCAGCCTCAGAAAAATAATCTATTAGCAAACTGTAAATCAGAGCATGTCAGAAGCAGGCACGGAAAGTGGTTTCTGAATTTTCACTGATTGCTCTTTAGCCCCATAAGATTGAAGAATATATAAATATATAGCTTCAGAATATAGATGACGAAATTATAAAGAATATTTTACATTACATTATATAGTTTTATAGGGGGTGGACAAAAAAATCCAGAAGAGGAGACAGCTCAAGAACAAATATCCAAATTCTAACACTAGGGGTATTTGAAATTGTTTTTAAATATTTCCTTATATAAATAAAACTTAAAACTTGTTGTTATTCTATCTTCTAAATGTGTGAAGTTTAAGTTTCTAATTCGTTAACGACCATATAAGTTATATGGTAGATGTAATAAAATATTAAATGATCAATAGAACAAAATGATATGTCTTATGTTCAGTTTCTAATTCATTAACCACTATATAAGTTGTATGGTAGATGTAATAAAATATAGACTGATCAGTAGAACAAGAAGACATGTCTTATGTTCAGTTTCTAATTCATTAACCACTATATAAGTTGTATGGTA